TAAAATATTGTAAAAATGTAGAGGACAATCACCACAGTGTGTTCAAAATGTCTGCCAAAGAGGAACATGGCATCATGTGATGCTGGTGACATGGTATTGGGACAAACAATTTTTGAGTTAAAGGGGGAAGTTCTGTTAGTAACATAGTTGACAGAACTTTTGCGGACATTCATATATTAAGATATTTAAATTATTTAAAGGGGGAAATCAATTAAAAATATGTTATTATTCTTTAGTATTTAGACTTTTGAAATAAATGAATCATTTTTTAAATTTACTTTAATGGTTTTTATTCATTATTTTGAATCCAAGACACCCTCAACTGAAAAACGGACATAGCAAAAACTGACAATTTAAGAACATCATGACACATTTCAAGCTAAATAAAGCATAGGATGCACATAATGTTTGTGTGATATTATAACATGCTTTCCAATAATAGGCAAAATATGATATTTTTGAAGAAAATAGTTAGAATAATTATAATTATCATCAATGGACATCAATGGACATGGAATGTACCCTAAATTGTAGAATCACTCAGCAGTTACATACACCAAACCTTCCAGTTATATTCCTATCAATATTATGAAGGCTTTTACAGAAGGGTTTGGTCATATATAATTCATAGCCTGAATTATATAACATTTTATACCTAAAAACATGGTGAAAATTGATATTTTAGGGCTGTTGACAGTATTTTCTGATTTATGGAGTGATACAAAGAGATATCCAAAATCCCTTCTGTAAAAGCCTTAGATACTAATATGACTACAAAATGAAACAATAATTTTGATCCTGGCTTTATCCAAAGTTCAGATTTTGGTTCCTGAAATGTGTTAAAATATGCGCATATTTCATGAGATAATGGTTCATTTGGATATTTAAACATGCTATTTCAGAAAACTTGTAATACAAAAAACAATTGCCTTATTGTAAGTAATTAACTGGAGAAATATTTAGCTGATATCTTTAAGTTAAAAATACCCTATTCACCTGGGGTGTCTCGCCTTAATTAGATGTTTGATAAGTGCAGATCACATAGTAAAACACGTACACAGATACATTATTTTGTATTTTTATTAAATTCGACAATGTCAATTTCACTTTCCACTATGTCCACCGTTGTTTTTCACAACCAATGGCAGAACTTTATTGAGGCCTGTAATTAGTCAACTACAGGTCTCTTGAGTCAGTCTTTTTCTTCCAAAAAGCTTGTGACAAGATGTTATTGCTCTTGGGGCATTAAAAACAAGATTTTAACTTTAGTTTTTTATATAATATCTGCATTTTCTATTGTGAAAAACTAAGTCTTAGTTATTTAATATATAGCGCCATCTCCTGGTTAAACCCTGAAATTGGAGAATAGTGGGAGGGCCTAACATTCCTGAATACTGGTCTTTGGCAGGCAACTGGCTGGCAACTGGCTGGCAGTCGGCAGGAAGCTGTATGCTGGGGTCCAAAATAAGAGGCTCCATCTGTATTAGGCAAATAAATTAATAACCTAGTCTATCCGTTTGAGACACAACAGTATAACTTTCAACCCAAATCATTTTGTCAACAAACGGTGGTTTAGTAAACTTTTTTTTAATATATAAAATAGGTATTAATGAGATAATCTATTAATGTTTGTCTAACTGCTACACATGTATTTATACATAAATGTAGATATTTGTGAACATCTAAATATAGTTGTTAAAGGTTTTAAGATATACATAATCACATCATGGGGTCATTAAGGACCAAATTAGGGGGCCAGTCAGGCCACTAATGAGCTCAATCATGAGCTCAATCATTCACATGTATTATTATTACTTTATAAATTAAAAGTACTAGGGGTCTATTACAAAACCTTTGAAGGAATCGTCATGCATTCTGAATGTTTCTGTACTTTAAAAACATCATGGCTCAAGATCCTGTTCTTGTTCAAGATTATTCAGACTCATTTGTGAATTTAACATCCATATTCACTCAAAACTGAAACACCAACATTTTTTTTAAAGCATTGCAGGCCTAAAGCTCCACGTCAGTGACCTATATTTTAATTTCTTCCATCAAACTTTAAAAATGGCAAACAGCATGTTTTTAAAGATTTAATCTTTTAAGAAACAAAATATCAAATTTGAACAGAAGGGTTTAAAAACACGTTTTTAATGCAAATAAACTTGAAACATAAACCTATTTGTCATTTCAAAATTCACTTGTATTGTCTGCGTGAAAGGCACAGTAGGCTATGAGCGAATACATATCAACATTAAAAAAATGACAAAGTCGTACAATATATACCATTAGAGATGGGCGAGTCCTGATTCATCCGGATCATTAACCCGGATCCTAGAAATGAGCTGGTCGTGACGAGTCTCCCCTCTCCATTAACCCGAGTCCTTGAGTCCCACACTTGGTGTGACGTACAAATTAAAACTATAAATTGCGTCACTCGCTACTCTCTTTATAACATGTAAAATCACATTACAACGTACCCCAGTCCATCTACCCTTTAGCAAGTATACAGGATAGCTGCCTGCCAGAAGTGATCGTTTGGCTCAGGGGAGGGGACGCGGATCAGTGAAACTTCCTGCAGACTCGTGGGGACTCAGAGGAGCCGACGGCTCCTAACCGTAATAGCATAGCAGATCCAGAGATCCATACTCGTCATGTGCACGAGCATAGCCCCTCCTCCAGCACCCGGCTCCCGCGCTATCAACAGCAGACTCGCAGACTCGCAGATTCGCAGATTCGCAAATCCTGACTCGCTGCAACACACAGCGGATCAGACTCGTGCGGACTCGGAGCCGTAACCATATAGCAGCAGATCCAGAGATCCAGCAGACTCGTCGTCATGCACGAGTCCACAGCAGACTCAGATTCGCAAATCCAGACTCGTGCGGACTCGGAGCCGTATATAGCAGCAGATCCAGAGATCCAGCAGACTCGTCCTCATGCACGAGTCAACAGCAGACTCAGATTCGCCAAATCGCAAAATAACCCTTTTTTTTGTGATCAACATTTTTTATTAAAGCAAAATACACTGTGTAGCGGAGGTTAATATAACGTCAGTTTAATAGATAGATAGATAGATAGTACTTTATTGATCCCAAATTGGGAAATTGTTGTTACAGCAGCATAAAAGGCATTTTACAATAAAACAAAACTACAAAATATACAAGAATAGAAAGAAAAATAAAATAAAATATAAAATATACATGTCGAAATAGAAAATATACATGCAGATATTATATATATATATATATACAAATATATATATATATTCAAAATATATGGAATAATAATATGCTCGTGAAATGCATCAACTTTTCGGTTTCACCGATAGGATTTCTACGGTCTTGGTGATGCTGACTCATATGACTCAAATGACTCGTATGATCCGGATCTCTTCAATGACTGACTCAGAAGACCCTGAGTCCGTAAAAGGATCCGGATTTGCCATCTCTATATACCATGTGCTACTGTCTAGGATTAAGTATGATGAGACTTTTTTTAAGGAGGGACCCCAGAGCCAAGGGCAGGCCGAGCAGACCGCCTTCTCCCGCCGCAGGCTTCCCCGGTGATGGGCTCCGTGTAACAAGTCCCCTCAGTCTGTGCGGGGAGCTGCACCACGGTGATGCTGCTGTCATCGCTCGCCTCTCCTCCGGTGGTGCCCTCGGCTCCCTCCGCCGCCACACTGCCCAGCACACTGGAGATCACTAATGTCTCTCAGCCACCGTAGTGTCGTGTCAGGTGGGCGTGTCGTGTAGGGGGCGTGTCGTGTAGTGTCGTGTACTTGCTGTGGCCGCAGCTAGACCATATTGGACTTACCAGCAGTATGATGCGTTCCTCTGGGGTCTGTGAAGAACAAGGAGGTTCTGTAAAGCACTTTGGGGATCAAAGGCTCCTTAGATCTTCATAGCATCTTATACTTTGCTCCTGTGGGTATTGTCCACAGTATTCACTGATACATGTCCAATATGTGTAATGTGTAATGTAAAGCGCTTTGAGCACTTGGAAAATCGATCTAATAAAAATGTAATGAATTATTATTATTATTATTACACCATCATCAAACATTATGTAATATCTCCTTTTATCTCGATCACATGCTCTCTTTCTGTTATTGTTTTTCTATGTTTTAACCAGTTTCTTTTTTCCCTGAAATCAAAGAATGGTTCCAAATTCTTCGAGTTATACAAAAGTACATGTGCTATTCATAAATAAAGTTTGAGTCAAAGTATACCATTTTATTTGACAGAGAACAATTGTTCATTCAGACAACTCTGTTTGTTAACAGCAGCATATAGTTTGGCGTCTTGTGGATTTACTCCAGGTGGAACTAAAGTCTGATTTAACACTTGATTATATTTCACATCATTCATCCACATCTGTAAAGTAACTAAAGGTATTAAATACATGTAGTGGAGTACAAGTACACCATGTACCTCTGAATTGTAGAGGAGTAGAAGTACACAGTAGCAAAACATGGAAATACTGAAGTAAAGTACAAGCAGCTCTAAATTTAGTACAGTACTTGAGTAAATGTACTCAGTTACTTGACCCTATCTTATTAGTGATACTTCTCTTCTTTAATTGGATCATCAGCGCCGCCTGCTGTGCGGAGTGGTGAACAGACACCATGGTAATAAATACTCTCCAACTATCAATCCAGTACTTCTGTAATACTCAAATACAGCTAAATGAATCTCCTACTCAACTCTAGATATGTTCTGGAGATATATATATATGAATAATGTTCTATAATAACGTGCAATTACGTATCTGCCACTACGTTTTTATGCACTACTCAATACTGTTCACTGTTACATTAATTATGTGACCGTCTATGTTTCCTGTAGATATTTAATTGTTCTTTTTATCACTGTTAGTGTATAGTTTATTATTATGCTGCTGTGTTTATTGTAATTTTGTAACTCTGGCACAACAATTTTCTTCAGAATAAATACAGTCTTATCTTATCTTATGTTGAACTGGCTTCACTGTTTGTGTTTCTCAGGCTCTGCCCCGGTGAGTTTTATTGTGTAGACCGGATGTAGTTGTGCAGAGTTTCCTCTTGACAGAAAGGTGTTGACGCTGGAGGAATGGCAGAAACCAGTAAACCCAGTAAGTTTAATTTACTCTGATTACTTCACTCTGATTCTTTAAACCCATTTTTATCTCGAGTATCTTTTATCTCTGAGAGGTTTCAGAGTTTAAAGCCGGGATTTATTCTGTTTTTCATTATTTATTCTTTACTTTCACTTTTGACCAAATTATGCAGATACAATTATTCAGCCTCATTTATTAACCTTATGTATTTATATCTCTAAGAAAAGATTATAAAGAGTATCATATATATATAATACATTTATATATAATACTTTAATAATATAATATATATATTTCACAAGGAGAGGTGTGACGCAGATAAAGAGAGACGTGGATATAAAATAAGTTGATGATTACACCTCCTGTTTCATAAAGAGTTCAATTTAAAAAACGGATCAAAGCCAGTCTAACAAGGAGTAAACAAACAAACAATCCCCTGTTTGTTTGTTTGTTTAAATACTGGCAGTATGACTAATGGGTGCAGTAGAGAAAGAGAGTGAGCAAAAACGTGTGTGTGATTAACAGGTGAGACAGGTGAATGGAAAACTACTGGTGAAAGATGGAGCAGACTGTGACAGTTTGTTTGTTTGTTTGTTTGTTTGTTTACTCCTGAGTGCACACATTCAGATCATAAAGTAAGGAACAGGGAGGGTTACTGTAAACATGTGATCACTAACCTACTAAAGAAGTAATCTGATTACTTTCCTTTACTTTAGGATTATCTCAATATTAAATGCGACGTAAATAAATACAATATAAATAAATGTTATTATGTTTTTTATTTCCGTGTATGATGAAGACAACAGAACAGATATTTAGAAATGAGTTTATATTTAGGAGAAGCTGCCTTCCAGTCACTTTGTAGACTGTTACCCCTAGATTCCACCGGGTCCGTCTGCGCCGCGTTGCGGTTTTGGTCCGGCCTCCTCCGGCGTCATACCCTACCAGGCGCGTTTCAGAAGCGTTTCAGAAGCGGAGCGTCTTGCCTGCCGGCTCGCAGTTTTTGTTGATTTGGGCATATTTCCTGGACACGCTACTTTGTACAGACAAAGTTAATAATAACTGTAATATTCCAGTTATAAACGACATGAATCAAAGATGTGTTGCTGTATTTTAGTGGTAAAAAAATGCATTCATCATCATAATTATTCTATATATATAATTTACACAGTGCCTGTAAACCGGAGGAGAACGCTGGCATTTCTCCTCCTACTTGAAAGACTACGGAGGGATAGGGTCTGCAAAATTAGTTTGTGTGTGTGTATATATAGCTCTGAACGTTCCACTTCCTGCCTGCCCGACCTTACGTTACGGCTGCGCCGCGACAAAAATAGGATTCATCCTAATTTTAGAGGAGCCCTGCGCCGAGACGCTTCTGGGACACTTCTGGGACGCTTCTGGGACGCTTCTGATCCGTAACGCGCCGCGTGTGGTGGAATAGCACCCATTGACTAAAGTGGCCGCGATCGCTGTGACCACCGCGGCGCAGCCGTGACCACCGCGGCGCAGCCGTGACCACCGCGGCGCAGCCGTAACGCGCCCGTAACGCGCCCGTAACGCGCCTGTAACGCGCCCGCCCGTAACGCGCCGCAGACGGACCCGGTGGAATCTAGGGGTAAGCGTCCAGGAGCGACGCTTGGTCAGGGTCCCGTGGCGTGCAGTTGGGACGCTCCGAGGCTCCTTCAGCTTCATAAACGGACGCAAAGAGCTTTCAACTGATTGCAATGTATTCCCATCGGCGGCGGTATTTGACGCTTAGGGAAGCACGGCATTCGTTTGTGTCGGAGGCTGTTAAAGGCAATGTGAGCGTCCATTCCCATTGGTTAACGGAGAATTGTACACCCGGAAGTAACTATTCTCCTTACTGTCGATTGATTTGACAGTGATATCTCCACTACTCATCAACTCAAAAACACCAGATTATCCTTGTTAATTAAACGACATTGATAGGTTTTAGTGTGTGTACAATGCTTTTGTCACGTTTCCCCTTCAATTCTGAGAAACAAGTCGTTTTCTATGAGTTTTGGATGGGCCGAAGACATTACATTACCCACAATCCTCTGTAGCAACCATAGACTGTATAAAACAATTCAATAATACATTATTTCCGAGTGTGCTTGCTTTTCTCTTTGAAAGTCATCACATAACGGCATTGTAATACACGTTTCGGCTGCATTAAATATGACATATCTGCCGTAGTTAACTCTATTTATAGAGCCCTGATGACAAGACTTCTAGACAAACAGGAACTGCCGCCAAAACTGAAAACTTGACGTGGATCTTAAATATATCAGCAATTAAACATCATCTTACATTTCTTTTCACACAATACGTCTCCTTGCAGTATCAACACTAATTCGGCTGACTTTTATATTTGATCCAATTGGTAGATAGGCTGTATTTACGCCATAACGGTGCACAGCTGATAGAAAGGGACACCCACTGGTTAAAGCACGTTATTGCATTTTATAATTTTATTTATTTAGTGTGAGTAAAGTTTAAAAGACTTTAGCACTAGATAATGAAATGTTTGAATAAATAAGTTTTATAGACATGTTAAAGAGGAAGACACGTTTAATAAACCACATTTAAAAGCAGAGTTTAAACTGAGGCTGACTTTACTTTCACATGTATTTTCTAAATGACCTTTAGTTCCTAATAATCTGAGGAATACAGTGTGTTAAGGTAAGTATGAATAATACGTGTATAAGTGTATATTATAATATATGATATGTGTCCTCTTGAATGTGAGGTTTTCTGATTATTAATAATAAATGTGTCTCTGTCCCTGAACAGGAGAGAAGAAGAGAAACAGCAAGGACTTTCCTCCAGGTGTGAATCACTTTCAACACATTTAAACATCTGTCGGTCCATGTTCCAGATGCTGCCTCATGTTGGGCAGCCTGGTCCCTTTAATACAAAACAAGCCACTCTTTACTCCAGAGGAAAACACACCTTTGAGCCAAAAGAGTAAAGTTAGTGATTTCTAATAGAAAGTGATAATCTCATGAATGTGTTTTCCTGTCCCAGCCTTCAGTGAGCTAAGGCTGGTTCTTCTTGGGAAGACTGGAGCAGGGAAGAGCTCCTGTGGAAACACTTTGCTGGGAAGAGATGCCTTCAGCGCCGCAGTCCATCAGTCCTCAGGTAACAGCACAACGCTCACTGTCAGGGGTGAAGTGCTCTCTAGTACTGGAGCGCAGCTATGATGCTCCTTTTGAAGCTCATGTAACTGCTGTCAATTAACACTCCAGCCAGACTCTGCAAAGCACGGTCAGGTAATATATAAGTATACTGAGGCTGTGGCTCAGTGGGGTTGTGCGCTGAATTTAGTGCGCTGAACTTTGAATCACGGGGTAGCAAGTTCGAGTCCCACTGCAGTCAGCATGTCGTTGTGTCCCTGAGACACTTCACCCCAAAGTGCTCCTCTGGGGATTGCCCACAGTATTGAGTATGTAAGTCGCTTTGGATAAAAGCGTCTAACAAGTAACATGTAATGTTATGTAGGGCTGTGCGATTATGGCAAAAATCATAATCACGATTATTTTGGTCAATAATTGATATCACGATTATTAAATACGATTATTCATTGACTTTGAAAAAAATCCATTTATTGAACTTTAAAACAAATACAAATAATAATTTGAACAGTATCTTTTTAACTGTTGATTACCCTGAACGTATAATTCAACTGAAAAACCAATACAAAAATAAATAAAATAAATGATACATTTAAATAAATAATTTCAAAATAATAAATACCAATAAACAAGATCAACAAATATTTTGGAGCGCACTTCCACAAGCTACTAAACATATATAAATATGATAAATACAAATAAATGAGACCAAAATTAATTAGATCAAATATGTTGCATGCACTGTCACAACCTAGCAAAGCTAAATAATTGTTTTTTTCGATTATGTTGTTTTCGTAATTGTGGCAGGCTAAAATCGTAATTGCGATTAAAATACGATTAATTGCACAGCCCTAATGTAATGTATACACGAATTAATAACTGTGTGATTCCAGAAGATATATTCCAGCAGAGCTCATAAAATGTCCTATAGAGTGGAAACACTGTAAAGATCTTAGTCTCTGGCGTTGGCCCTGCAGTGAAATAATACACTTCTCATTTACCCAAAACTGGTGTTTACGGATTGGTTGTTCGTCGTCACCTGACAGTCTCCCAGTGCGGTTAGCCCTTGAAGCTGGGACCTCGTTCTCCTTGACCTAAACGCCGCTTTCAACACCATCAACGACTCCACCCTCATCATCCGCCTCCAGTCTTCCATCGGCATCCACCTCCCTCTCCTGGTTTAAATCCTATCTCTCTGACAGACATCAATTCTTCTCCATCAAAAACTCCAAATCCCCCACAGCCCCCGTCAATCATGACGTCCCTCAGGGTTCTGTACTTGGTCCCCTTCAGTTCATCATCTACATCTTCCCAATAGGACAAATCCTCCGTCAACACCAACTCCAGTTACACTGTTGCTCACCTCCAACCGACGCTCGGACCACATCACCCCTATCCTCCAAGACCTCCACCCTGCGCTCGGACCACATCACCCCTATCCTCCAAGACCTCCACCCTGCGCTCGGACCACATCACCCCTATCCTCCAAGACCTCCACCCTGCGCTCTGACCACATCACCCCTATCCTCCAAGACCTCCACCCTGCGCTCCGACCACATCACCCCTATCCTCCATCACCTCCACCCTACGCTCCGACCACATCACCCCTATCCTCCAAGACCTCCACCCTGCGCTCCGACCACATCACCCCTATCCTCCATCACCTCCACCCTACGCTCCGACCACATCCCCCAAGACCTCCACCCGACGCTCCGACGACATCACCCCTATCCTCCAAGACCTCCACCCTACGCTCCGACCACATCCCCCCTATCCTCCAAGACCTCCACCCTACGCTCCGACCACATCCCCCCTATCCTCCAAGACCTCCACCCTACGCTCCGAACACATCCCCCCTATCAACCCATCAAACACCGCATTGAAAACTTCAAAATATTACTTCTCACTCACAAAACCAATAATGATAACAACACAGGGTTGCCAACTCTCACGCATCTGGCGTGTGACACACGCTTTCACTCTCAACCTCACGCTCTCACGCTGCCCAAACTATTCTCACGCCAAAAACAAGAATACGAAGACCAGAAACGGTTTTGAAAACTTTTGTCACGTAGTGATCGTCTTCTCAATAGAACATCTTTGATAATGTCTTCTGGCCAATCAGAATCACGATAACGGCGTGGTGTTGTTGCAGGAAGTCCCGACGGAGAATACTTTTGCGGTAGTACATCTCTATACATCGATACAACATTACGTGTTGATAGAAATCAACACGTAATGAAATAAGACCCCACGGTTTGATGATTGATAGGTGTGTGTGCTGTCTTTCATTTTGACACACAGAACAATGGGGGCTATCCACCCTTATCCACAATGTGAAGTAATTCACACAGCCTCTTCCCTCTTCTCTCTGTGAGGAGCAGCAGGTTCAGCTTTCAGAACAAAGTCACACAAAACTAAAATGGCATTCATTTTTTTAAATGTGTAGTAATAGATTTATTTATTTTTCTTCTCAAGAGAGTACCAGAATGTGTATTTTATGTTAGTATTTAAAAAAATCTCCTGGGGGAGAATCCCCCCAGACCCCCCTGCAGGGGTTGGGTTAGGTCAACTCTTTCACCTGTGGGGAAATTGCAGGATTGGCTCCAGGTCGCCCTTTTTATTTACTACAAGACAAATGTGTCTTTTTATTTCATACAGTTCAATTTGGATTGAGACAGGGAAATAATCTAAACCTCACGCGTGGCGTTTCACTGTCGGGGGGAGCATGTATGTAATTACATTGCAAATACTGACTTGAGCCCCACCACTGTATGGGTTAGCCCTACCATAGATTACCCAACAAAAATACTCTGGAGCCGCAACTGCCGACCCGTATTGCGCATGCGCAGATCTAAGATCCAGTAGAAATGATAAAAAAGTAAAAGTCTGCTGCTTATTGTTCTACTAGGCCAAAATAGAGTCAAAGAGTATATGAGAGTGAGAGTGTGTTAATTAATATATTTGGCAGTTTGGAGTAAGTCTGTAGATTTGTTTGTGTGTGTGTGTTTCATGTATAGGCCTCTCACGATAATTAATTTTGTTGGATACATTTTCCCAGAAATTATTGCGATAAACGATAATATTGTCGGCACCGTTGTATGACCATTTTAGACCACTGACATAATGATAATATATAATAATAATTCAAGTACATCCTTTCAAACTGCTAGTCACATCCTCATGTAAATGGAAATTTATCGAGGTCAGAAAAGTTATCGAGTTCATTTTTATTTATCGTACGATAAGTCAATTAATTGCTTATCGCGACAGGCACACAATAAAACTGTGGAAACAAACATGTTTGACTTTCATTAGTGAATGAAACTGTGTGCCCTTTATAGTCTGTGTCCATTATTGTGTATTTGTATATATTGTATATATATGCTATATATATGCTAAGGTCCCGCTGCTGACACGATAGCAGTCATTTCGTGCGCATATGTGTAATTAAACCCATGATATCAAAATCTCACTCCAGCCAGGTACCCAAAGTTGGCAACCCTGACAACATGTGAATGCGAATGTGTTGTTTTTAACGCAGGCGGCGTTGGAGTTATTTCTTGGCTCGAAGGGCTAGTTCATGTTAGCTGCTAGCAGCCGGTGGGTAGCATATTCTGCTTGGCTAAATACTCAAGGTAACGCTAACAAAGCTAATGGCTATTCCTAACGGCTAACAGCTAATGCTAACGTAGGCTCCATAGAGGTACATTACGATGGGTTCGAGCTCTATTCAGTTAAAATGAGTGTTGGTCAAAGATACAATTTAACATTATCACAATGCATTCAAATGTTGTTTGTAAAATGTGCTTTTGGTGAGAAACTGTGTTCAGGATTATTCTGTGTGTTTCAGAGTGTGTGTGTGTGTGTGTGTGTGTGTGTGTGTTGTGGTGTGGTGTGTGTGTGTGTGTGTGTGTGTGTGTGTGTGTGTGTGTGTGTGTGTGTGTGTGTGTGTGTGTGTGGGTGGTGTGTGTGTGGTGTGTGGTGTGTGTGTGTGTGTGTGTGTGTGTGTGTGTGTGTGTGTGTGTGTGTGTGTGTGTGTGTGTGTGTGTGTGTGTGTGTGTGTGTGTGTGTGTGTGTGTGTGTGTGTGTGTGTGTGTGTGTTTACGAGTGTGTGTGTGTGTAACATATTGTGTGTTTCAGATTGTGTGTGTGTGTGTGTAACATATTGTGTGTTTCAGATTGTGTGTGTGTAACATATTGTGTGTGTGTGTGTGTAACATATTGTGTGTTTACGAGTGTGTGTGTGTAACATATTGTGTGTTTACGAGTGTGTGTGTGTGTGTGTGTGTGTGTGTTTACGAGTGTGTGTGTGTGTGTGTAACATATTGTGTGTTTCAGATTGTGTGTGTGTGCGTGTAACATATTGTGTGTTTCAGATTGTGTGTGTGTAACATATTGTGTGTGTGTGTGTAACATATTGTGTGTTTACGAGTGTGTGTGTGTAACATATTGTGTGTTTACGAGTGTGTGTGTGTGTGTGTGTGTGTGTGTGTGTGTGTAACATATTGTGTGTTTACGAGTGTGTGTGTGTAACATATTGTGTGTTTACGAGTGTGTGTGTGTGTGTGTGTGTGTGTGTGTGTGTGTGTGTGTGTTTACGAGTGTGTGTGTGTGTGTAACATATTGTGTGTTTTCAGATTGTGTGTGTGTGTGTGTAACATATTGTGTGTTTCAGATTGTGTGTGTGTAACATATTGTGTGTGTGTGTGTAACATATTGTGTGTGTGTGTGTGTGTGTGTGTGTGTGTGTGTGTGTGTGTGTGTGTGTGTGTGTGTGTGTGTAACATATTGTGTGTTTCAGATTGTGTGTGTGTGTGTAACATATTGTGTGTTTCAGATTGTGTGTGTGTAACATATTGTGTGTGTGTGTGTAACATATTGTGTGTTTACGAGTGTGTGTGTGTAACATATTGTGTGTTTACGAGTGTGTGTGTGTGTGTGTGTGTGTGTGTGTGTGTGTGTGTGTGTGTGTGTGTAACATATTGTGTGTTTACGAGTGTGTGTGTGTAACATATTGTGTGTTTACGAGTGTGTGTTAAATATTGTGTGTTTCAGATTGTGAGTGTGTGTGTTACATATTGTGTGTTTCAGATTGTGTGTGTGTGTGTAACATATTGTGTGTTTCAGAGTGTGTGTAACATATTGTGTGTTTCAGATTGTGTGTGTGTGTGTAACATATTGTGTGTTTCAGATTGTGAGTGTGTGTGTTACATATTGTGTGTTTCAGATTGTGTGTGTGTGTGTAACATATTGTGTGTTTCCTCCCCCCAGTCACCAGGGAGTGCTGTAAGCAGACGGGGGAGGTCTCTGGGAGGCAGGTGGAGGTGGTGGACACCCCCGGGCTCTTCGACACCTCGTTACCGGAGCACAGCGTGAAGAGAGAGATCTCAAAGTGCATCAACATGTCGGCGCCGGGGCCCCACGCCTTCCTGCTGGTCATCAGGGTGGGGCCGTTCACCTGCGAGGAGCGAGACGCCGTGCTTCAGATGGAGCAGATCTTCGGGGCGGACGCCTGGAAACACACCATCGTCCTCTTCACCCACGGAGACGCCATGGGGCCTCAGCTGCCGCAGGAGGCGGGCCCCGAGCTGAGGGCCGTCCTGAAGAAGGCGGGGAACCGGTTCCACGGCTTCAACAACGCCAGGGCCAACGACCGCGGACAGGTATCTTATACTTTATCTTTCATGGTATTAATCTCTAATCTGTGTGAATCTGTCCTGTTTTTTTATTTTACCCTGTTGCTGTTTAAACTACTGAATTTCCCCACAGGGTTTACTAAAGGTCCACCTTACCTTCTCTAAAGCCCTTGCCACACGAGGACGATAACGCAAACGGACCGCAATCGTTATCAAAAAAGTCTTCCGTCCACACGCAACAGGCACCAGCAACGTGTCCGTTCACACGAGACGGCTCAAAAGCGCTGGAGACGCTGTAGTACATATGCCAGGCCTGTAAGTGGCGCTGTAGTCTGCCACAAAAGCAGCGAAGAAGACTTCCCGCGCATGGTTGCCATGGTTACCCTTCTGTTTATTCTCCGCTGTGGCTTTCTTTCTCCCTCCCCGAGGCAAGCGTTTGCTCCCGCTGCTTTAATTCAATGCAATCCCTCCCCGTCGAGGCAAGCACTGTAATCCTCTCCGGTTAGTCCACCAGCAGATGACAAACACCCACCTCTCCGCCTCTTCCAAGGAACGAGGGGACCGTGCGGCAGAGTTTCAGTTCGATTTTTTTCCGCCGGTCAACATGCCGTTAAAGTTTAAATCTTCCGGACAAAATTAGAAAAGTGCCGGTCAAAGGTCTTCTTTGTTATTTATTGAGCTTTAAAACAAATTGATAACGACTTTATATAATAATATAAGAATAAAAAACGGAGCCTCTCTTTTCCTCCCCATCTTCTGACAGCCCAGCAGCTGATCTCTGAGCAGGAGACGTGGGGAGAGGCGGGGCTATTGCTTCAACGTTATCAGGAAATGATCGTATAGGCGTAAACACGGAGCCGTTTGGCCCCCAGAGCGTTTCGTTTGCAGATCGTTATCGTTATCGTTTTCTGCGTTCTCGTGTGGCCGATCCGTCTATCTGAGAGTGAACTGTAGCAGATGCGACCGTTATCGTCCTCGTGTGGCTGGGTCTTTACCTTACCTTACCTCACCTTACCTCACCTTACCTTATCTTAGGTGCTGGATCTGCTGGAGAAGGTGGAGCAGATGCTGGAGGCTAACGGAGGGCAGTTCTACTCCAACGTCCGCTACGAGGAGGTGGTGGAGATGCTGGACCACAGAGAGGCGGAGCTTAGGGAGCTCTACGACAGGAAGCTGAGGGAGGAGATCCAAGGGGTGGAGAGGAAGTACGAGAAGAAGCTGAGGGAGGAGCAGCATCAGCGTCTGCAGGTGAAGCACCGTCTGCAGGCCGAGCTGCAGGAGCTGAAGCGGTACTACCGGGTCCTAGAGAGCGGGGTCCGGCTGGTGGTGGAGCAGACGGTGCCCTCCGACTCCTTCCAGGAAGTGCTCTCCCAGTTCAACGAGAAGCTGAAGCTCAATATCCAGTCCTGAAAGCCTTTTTCTAGAAGTCATGTGAGAAAACAGATTTGGAAATGTAAATGTTAAATCACTCAATCACTCTTCTGCTCTGTCTTCTTCTCAGCCGTATGTTCTTTGCTAAGAGTAACTAAGCTGCAACACAGAAAGTTAAATGTGTTAAGTGTTATTATTTGCATTTTGTACACAGATGTTTAGGTCTTAACTTCTGTGAGAAAATATGGAGGTTTTGGGTCTTTGCATTTGAAGTCACGAAAAGAAACATCAAATATCAAATTCCGCAGCGTCTCTTCCGAACAGTTCTGCAATTTGATTCTCTAAATTCTGGAACTAGAATAAGGGCGATTGCTTTGAGTGCTTAGGGTTATCAGGAGCAGCAGTTCTGTCAATCTGTATTACTTTATGTTATGACCTTTAGCACCTGCATCAAGCCATAAAGCTGCAGAGGCGTACAGCCCTGGGGGAGGGGGGTGATTCTCAGAAAGAAAACGTCACTTTAAAAGCCTTGTCGTACATTTACCAATAAATCGTGTCTATTTCTTCAGATTAAAGTGATACATTATGCTTTGCAGATTTCTGAGCATGCTCTCTGGGAAAAGCTGCAGAAATATTAAAAACATGTTTTGTATTCTTATTGTTTTTAATAAATGTCATTTCCCAACAGGTCTGTCATGTTTCTAACCTTGAGGGGTTTCAAATAATACAATTATATAAAACATTTGTCCTTTTTGTGTCCCCTCTGTGTAAAGAGACTCTCTTTTTATACAGAGGGGACACATGTCTCTTCTTCATCAACATGTGTCCCCTCTTCTTCATGTCTCTTCTACATCAACATGTGTCCCCTCTTCTTCATGTCTCTTCTTCATCAACATGTGTCCCCTCTTCTTCATGTCTCTTCTTCATCAACATGTGTCTCCTCTTCTTCATGTCTCTTTTACATCAACATGTGTCCCCTCTTCTTCATGTCTCTTCTACATCAGCATGTGTCCCCTCTTCTTCATGTCTCTTCTACATCAACATGTGTCCCCTCTTCTTCATGTCTCTTCTACATCAACATGTGTCCCCACTTCTTCATGTCTCTTCTACATCAACATGTGTCCCCTCTTCTTCATGTCTCTTCTTCATCAACATGTGTCCCCTCTTCTTCATGTCTCTTCTACATCACCATGTGTCCCCTCTTCTTCATGTCTCTTCTACATCAACATGTGTCCCCTCTTCTTCATGTCTCTTCTACATCAACATGTGTCCCCTCTTCTTCATGTCTCTTCTACATCAACATGTGTCCCCTCTTCTTCATATCTCTTCTACATCAACATGTGTCCCCTCTTCTTCATGTCTCTTCTTCATCAACATGTGTCCCCTCTTCTTCATGTCTCTTCTACATCAACATGTGTCCCCTCTTCTTCATGTCTCTTCTTCATCAACATGTGTCCCCTCTTCTTCATGTCTCTTCTTCATCAACATGTGTCTCCTCTTCTTCATGTCTCTTCTACATCAACATGTGTCCCCTCTTCTTCATGTCTCTTCTACATCAGCATGTGTCCCCTCTTCTTCATGTCTCTTCTACATCAACATGTGTCCCCACTTCTTCATGTCTCTTCTACATCAACATGTGTCCCCTCTTCTTCATGTCTCTTCTTCATCAACATGTGTCCCCTCTTCTTCATGTCTCTTCTACATCAACATGTGTCCCCTCTTCTTCATGTCTCTTCTACATCACCATGTGTCCCCTCTTCTTCATGTCTCTTCTACATCAACATGTGTCCCCTCTTCTTCACGTCTCTTCTACATCAACATGTGTCCCCTCTTCTTCATGTCTCTTCTTCATCAACATGTGTCCCCTCTTCTTCATGTCTCTTCTACATCACCATGTGTCCCCTCTTCTTCATGTCTCTTCTACATCAACATGTGTCCCCTCTTCTTCATGTCTCTTCTACATCAACATGTGTCCCCTCTTCTTCATGTCTCTTCTACATCAACATGTGTCCCCTCTTCTTCATGTCTCTTCTACATCAACATGTGTCCCCTCTTCTTCATGTCTCTTCTTCATCAACATGTGTCCCCTCTTCTTCATGTCTCTTCTACATCAACATGTGTCCCCTCTTCTTCATGTCTCTTCTACATCAACATGTGTCCCCTCTTCTTCATGTCTCTTCTACATCAACATGTCTCCCCTCTTCTTCATGTCTCTTCTACATCAACATGTGTCCCCTCTTCTTCATGTCTCTTTTACATCAACATGTGTCCCCTCTTCCTCATGTCTCTTCTACATCAACATGTGTCCCCTCTTCTTCATGTCTCTTCTTCATCAACATGTGTCCCCTCTTCTTCATGTCTCTTCTACATCAACATGTGTCCCCTCTTCTTCATGTCTCTTCTACATCAACATGTGTCCCCTCTTCTTCATGTCTCTTCTACATCAACATGTGTCCCCTCTTCTTCATATCTCTTCTACATCAACATGTGTCCCCTCTTCTTCATGTCTCTTCTTCATCAACATGTGTCCCCTCTTCTTCATGTCTCTTCTTCATCAACATGTGTCCCCTCTTCTTCATGTCTCTTCTACATCAACATGTGTCCCCTCTTCTTCATGTCTCTTCTTCATCAACATGTGTCCCCTCTTCTTCATGTCTCTTCTTCATCAACATGTGTCTCCTCTTCTTCATGTCTCTTCTACATCAACATGTGTCCCCTCTTCTTCATGTCTCTTCTACATCAGCATGTGTCCCCTCTTCTTCATGTCTCTTCTACATCAACATGTGTCCCCTCTTCTTCATGTCTCTTCTTCATCAACATGTGTCCCCTCTTCTTCATGTCTCTTCTACATCAACATGTGTCCCCTCTTCTTCATGTCTCTTCTACATCAACATGTGTCCCCTCTTCTTCATGTCTCTTCTACATCAACATGTCTCCCCTCTTCTTCATGTCTCTTCTACATCAACATGTGTCCCCTCTTCTTCACGTCTCTTCTACATCAACATGTGTCCCCTCTTCTTCATGTCTCTTCTACATCAACATGTGTCCCCTCTTCTTCATGTCTCTTCTACATCACCATGTGTCCCCTCTTCTTCATGTCTCTTCTACATCAACATGTGTCCCCTCTTCTTCATGTCTCTTCTACATCAACATGTGTCCCCTCTTCTTCATGTCTCTTCTACATCAACATGTGTCCCCTCTTCTTCATATCTCTTCTACATCAACATGTGTCCCCCTCTTCTTCATGTCTCTTCTTCATCAACATGTGTCCCCTCTTCTTCATGTCTCTTCTACATCAACATGTGTCCCCTCTTCTTCATGTCTCTTCTTCATCAACATGTGTCCCCTCTTCTTCATGTCTCTTCTTCATCAACATGTGTCTCCTCTTCTTCATGTCTCTTCTACATCAACATGTGTACCCTCTTCTTCATGTCTCTTCTACATCAGCATGTGTCCCCTCTTCTTCATGTCTCTTCTACATCAACATGTGTCCCCACTTCTTCATGTCTCTTCTACATCAACATGTGTCCCCTCTTCTTCATGTCTCTTCTTCATCAACATGTGTCCCCTCTTCTTCATGTCTCTTCTACATCAACATGTGTCCCCTCTTCTTCATGTCTCTTCTACATCACCATGTGTCCCCTCTTCTTCATGTCTCTTCTACATCAACATGTGTCCCCTCTTCTTCACGTCTCTTCTACATCAACATGTGTCCCCTCTTCTTCACGTCTCTTCTACATCAACATGTGTCCCCTCTTCTTCACGTCTCTTCTACATCACCATGTGTCCCCTCTTCTTCATGTCTCTTCTACATCAACATGTGTCCCCTCTTCTTCATGTCTCTTCTACATCAACATGTGTCCCCTCTTCTTCATGTCTCTTCTACATCAACATGTGTCCCCTCTTCTTCATATCTCTTCTACATCAACATGTGTCCCCTCTTCTTCATGTCTCTTCTTCATCAACATGTGTCCCCTCTTCTTCATGTCTCTTCTACATCAACATGTGTCCCCTCTTCTTCATGTCTCTTCTTCATCAACATGTGTCCCCTCTTCTTCATGTCTCTTCTTCATCAACATGTGTCTCCTCTTCTTCATGTCTCTTCTACATCAACATGTGTCCCCTCTTCTTCATGTCTCTTCTACATCAGCATGTGTCCCCTCTTCTTCATGTCTCTTCTACATCAACATGTGTCCCCACTTCTTCATGTCTCTTCTACATCAACATGTGTCCCCTCTTCTTCATGTCTCTTCTTCATCAACATGTGTCCCCTCTTCTTCATGTCTCTTTCTACATCAACATGTGTCCCCTCTTCTTCATGTCTCTTCTACATCACCATGTGTCCCCTCTTCTTCATGTCTCTTCTACATCAACATGTGTCCCCTCTTCTTCATGTCTCTTCTACATCAACATGTGTCCCCTCTTCTTCATGTCTCTTCTACATCAACATGTGTCCCCTCTTCTTCATATCTCTTCTACATCAACATGTGTCCCCTCTTCTTCATGTCTCTTCTTCATCAACATGTGTCCCCTCTTCTTCATGTCTCTTCTACATCAACATGTGTCCCCTCTTCTTCATATCTCTTCTACATCAACATGTGTCCCCTCTTCTTCATGTCTCTTCTTCATCAACATGTGTCCCCTCTTCTTCATGTCTCTTCTACATCAACATGTGTCCCCTCTTCTTCATGTCTCTTCTTCATCAACATGTGTCCCCTCTTCTTCATGTCTCTTCTTCATCAACATGTGTCTCCTCTTCTTCATGTCTCTTCTACATCAACATGTGTCCCCTCTTCTTCATGTCTCTTCTACATCAGCATGTGTCCCCTCTTCTTCATGTCTCTTCTACATCAACATGTGTCCCCTCTTCTTCATGTCTCTTCTTCATCAACATGTGTCCCCTCTTCTTCATGTCTCTTCTACATCAACATGTGTCCCCTCTTCTTCATGTCTCTTCTACATCAACATGTGTCCCCTCTTCTTCATGTCTCTTCTACATCAACATGTCTCCCCTCTTCTTCATGTCTCTTCTACATCAACATGTGTCCCCTCTTCTTCATGTCTCTTTTACATCAACATGTGTCCCCTCTTCCTCATGTCTCTTCTACATCAACATGTGTCCCCTCTTCTTCATGTCTCTTCTTCATCAACATGTGTCCCCTCTTCTTCATGTCTCTTCTACATCAACATGTGTCCCCTCTTCTTCATGTCTCTTCTACATCAACATGTGTCCCCCTCTTCTTCATGTCTCTTCTACATCAACATGTGTCCCCTCTTCTTCATATCTCTTCTACATCAACATGTGTCCCCTCTTCTTCATGTCTCTTCTTCATCAACATGTGTCCCCTCTTCTTCATGTCTCTTCTACATCAACATGTGTCCCCTCTTCTTCATGTCTCTTCTTCATCAACATGTGTCCCCTCTTCTTCATGTCTCTTCTTCATCAACATGTGTCTCCTCTTCTTCATGTCTCTTCTACATCAACATGTGTCCCCTCTTCTTCATGTCTCTTCTACATCAGCATGTGTCCCCTCTTCTTCATGTCTCTTCTACATCAACATGTGTCCCCACTTCTTCATGTCTCTTCTACATCAACATGTGTCCCCTCTTCTTCATGTCTCTTCTTCATCAACATGTGTCCCCTCTTCTTCATGTCTCTTCTACATCAACATGTGTCCCCTCTTCTTCATGTCTCTTCTACATCACCATGTGTCCCCTCTTCTTCATGTCTCTTCTACATCAAC